CGCTACAGTCGAGCAAGCCCGACAGTAAAATAGCCTGTACTCTCCACAAAAAGGAAAAATTAAAAAAAAAAAAATTTTAAAAAATTAAATTATTAAAAAAAATGAATTAATGAATTAATTAAAATAATTAATTTAATTAAATTAGAATACATGTTTATGTTCAGTTTAAACAGCATACATTTACATCACGTACCTATGCGTGTTTATATGCGTGTATGTATGCAGCACAAAGTTAAACCAAAGCAGCAACAACAACAGCTGCGGGCAGCGCTGCCGACAGAGGCAGCGCATGAGCAGCGATTTTACTTATGGCTATAACTTTCTTCAGAATTGACCTATCATGATGAAATTTGGCACACGGACACATTAGTACTAACTGGAAGTACCTACCAAAATTTTAAAATTCCGAGAATTACGGAAGTTATAAGAAAAAATACGAATTGCGGGGGAGTGGGGGGTGTATCAGAAAAAATAAACAAACTCGTTCTGCTTAGGGCTTATAGGAACCTTGATACCAATTTTGGTTATCCTAGCTCTTGTACTTACTGAGATCCTTGCGCTCATACAGACAGACGGACAGACGGACATGGCTATATCGACTCGTCTTCTCATCCTGATCAAGAATATATATACTTTGTGGGGTCTGCCACGCCTCCTTCTGTGTGTTACATACATGCGCACAAAACTAGTATAGCCTTCCACCCTTTGGGTACAGGCTATAATAATTTATGCATATGATCGATGAAAAAACCTTCACAAATTCAACGCAGATCCATCTTAAGGCGAAATAGTGCGTCATAATAATGAACGTGTGGTCGACTTTATATGGACAAATTTTTTCTAGGGGGGGCAACGGAAGCTAGATGCTTCAGTTTGTGGGCGTAGTACTGGAGTGGAATTGTTTCGCTAATAACTCTTCTTAAAATTCACCAATTTGGATGAAATTTGAAAGAAAAGTAGATAGATGTAAATAGATTACGTGTTGTTTATGTAGCTGTTGTTAGTGACGTATTTACAAAATTCTGTAGCGGGAAAGGGGGGGAAATTAAAGAATAAAATAAACTCGTATAGGAGAGAAGAGCGGACATTCCAAGTTGGTTTATGTGCGCTCAGCCGTGCCCGAAATCCTGGCGTTCATCCGGACAGACAGACGAACGGACGGATACACGGACAGATGGACATGTCTAGATCGATTTATGTAGTCATGCTGATTAATAATACTTTTTATGGGGTTATGGGGTTTTTCTTTAACATACTTTCAACAAACCTAATATACTCTGCTTACCCTACGCGTACAGGGTATAAAGATGTGTGTCAAAGGTTAGAAGAATAGATCAAATGACACCTAAACACAATTAAATGGCACATTAAACAATGTCTGTGTACGTATGTTTTATTAACATATTCCTAAGTGTCCTCCCAGTCTTATTGCAATAATAACTGGATATCTTGAACCGCCACATATGCTGGCTGAGAAATAAGCTCATTTCTCTGCCAAAGCGAAACTGTTGTGCATTTTGCAGCTGATAACAATCGCTGTGGTGGCGCAAGTTGGGCCTCTTTTCGCAAAAACTTTGCGTGAATTGTGTGCGCGCGGAAAAGTTCAAGGACAATGGAATTGGCAAAGTCTGAGAATAACTGTTGTTGCTGGCAGTTGTTACATATACCTCCGTAATCTGCTTTTTCAGCTATAGTTGAACTTGCTTGCCATGGAAATTGCATTTTCGATTAAGGCAGCTGTGTAAACTGCAGCGAGTCCATTTAATATTGTGGCTAGTAACAGTATGTAGGCACGTATGTGTGATAAAAGTTTTCCTTGTGCGTTATGAACGTTGGAGGAAAAGTTTCGCCAGCTTCTAAACTCTTGTTTCGGAGTCTTTAAACATCGCAGTATGTGTAGTCCAGCGGTTTTTGTATTCATACCTAAATAAATACTCAATCCGACGATAAGTCAACTTATTGATTTGTTGAAATTGGGTCTCTGTTAGAAAATCATCTTTGGCTGATATGTTTTTGGAGGGTTATGGCTTTTCTTAATGAGATAAAACGATAAAAGTTTCTGTACATTTTCAAAATTGTGTCTTTCTTGCTGTATTTTTTGGATACAATTTCTTTTCTATCTGTGCTGTTGAATTTTATTTTCCAACTGAAGGCAAATATTAATAAAAAATGTTTATTATTTTATTTGGATAAGATGTGAGTAAATATGTAAAGATATGTATTTTGCATGCTTCTGCATGCATTTCAGTAACATTCATTTAGTAACTTACTTAATGAGCTACAAATCCACTGAAATAAAATCCCTTTATACACCCGCTCCCACAATTTTGTTGTAAATAAAAAGGTCAGCTAACTCCCTTTTATAATATTCTTTTATACACGTATGGGTGAATGTATAAGCTATTTGTGCGAACATGGTGTATAATAATATAAAAAGGGCAATTAGCTTTTACTTCAACCCTAGTCTAAACAACCACCGAAAAGTAAAACCCAAAAGTGTATAGCATCGGAGATGACATCAGCCAGCCAACTATAGAGTCTGCATTGTCCTGGGAAGAGCACATTGAACTGGTGCCAAGTGGCTCAGCCAGACAGACAGTGGCTGCGACTGTGACTACACAGTCATTTGCCAGAGTTGATAATAACAAATGGGGTCGACAGACGCGTACGGTCATGTCAGGAGTAAAGGGAGGCGAGGGTCGGGACGGTTATGGCGGCGCCAAAGCGATAGACAATTACGCAATTACTGCGTTGGGCGGTAAAAATATATTTTTGTTTGTGGAATGCGAAATGACGAAAAGGGTGAAGAAGGACACAAACGCACTCTATGCATCGCCAAAGATGCTTGGAAGTACTTGGGGCCCTCAGTGGTACGACCAATACAGCTCTACGTTGTACTGGAATGGTGGCAAGTTACATATAAATCCATACAACTGAAACTGATGGAAAGAAGTCAACGACAGATACTCATATATGTTAGGGTGACGCTGAAGTCTATTCCAACCGAAACATTGTAGATGCTACTTGAAGTCAATTCCTCTGACATCTAAGGACATCCACTCGCGAAATAGATTGCGTAACTGGACGATTTTCCATACAGGCCATACGTTGGCTATAGGGCAAGGACAGCCAATTCCTCCTCCAGAGAAATGGGGGCAGTCTCATAACAGGCAAGCTGGGTATTGCAGAGAAGACATATGAAGGAAATGCAAGGAATGGGATGTGATAGAAGAAAAATATACAAAAATATTCCCTTTTTGCTTTTTTATTTCTTGCTCATGGTTGAACCTATGTTCAAAATACTAACGCTTAAATTTAGAATAAGTATTTCCAAGGTGGACGATTGTAAGAAATAATGAGGAAGAGTGAATCGGGTGGGATTCAGAATTACCGGCAGGCAACACATTTTGTTGGGGGTTAGATCATTTTTTTCTCCTCAATGCCCGCATTCTAGTAACCAAATAAAAGAGTCCTATATGCTCTTCAAAAAGGCGGCAACGAACAAGAATTAAATTATAAGGAAAACATTTAATGGCAAAAGAATTAAATAGAAACAAAATCCATTATTAAACCATTTTGTAGCTACTCGATGATGTGGTAACTATGCCTCTTTACCCACCTTACGATCTTAATTCAGCACATAATATTTGGAAAATTCCTAAAGTGTCTACAACACCATATTCATATAGCATCTTTAAGGAGTTTGCTTTAAAATTCTTCATTTCAATTAAATATTCGGACTTTTTATACTCTGTACATGAAATGTACAAGAGTATATTAGGTTTGCGGGAGCTGAAAAATGTAACAGGCAGAAGGAGGCGTGGCAGACCCCACAAAGTATATATATTCTTGATCAGCGTGACAAGACGAGTCGATCTAGCCCTGTCTGTCTGTCTGTCCGTCTGTCCGTCCGTATGAACACCTGGATCTCAGAGACTATAAGAGATAGAGACACCAAATTTTGCACAAAGATGCGTTATGTGTGTATTCTATACGTTTGTTTTATTTTTTTGATTTTCCCCCCCCACTTCCCCCCTATGGGGGTTTTCCCGATTTTCCATTCGTATAATCGCCTATATCTCGGAGACTATAAGACCTAGGCACACCAAATTTTAGTCCAAGATGCCTTGTGTGAATACGCAGAAAATGTATATTTTGGAATTTCCCTCCCTCCCCCCTCTACCCCACAAATCGTAACTCCCGTAATTCTTGGAATTTCGAACTAAAATTTTGCAAATACCCCCAGTTAGTAATTATGTGTCCGTATGCCAAGTTTCACTATGATAGACCGATATACCAAGAAGTTATAGCCATAAATATATTTGCTGATGCAGCGCTGCTCAAGCGCTGCCCGCGGCTGTTGTTGATGTTGCTGTTTGGTTGACTGCGAAAATGCTTACACAGACACGAATAGATGCGCATAGGCATACATACACTCACACAGACGCAATTGCTATGTAAATGTGCAATTATACACCCTTTACGTGAGTTCGAATACCGAGAAAGGTAAAATCGATCATTGAATTTTTTTTTATTTTCTTAATTTTTTTTATTTTCTATAATTATTGTAAACATATGTACAGAGTATTTCAAAGTCGGGACACCCGACTTTAGCTTTTTTACTTGTTATTTATTCATTTAAAGGAGATATTATAAAATGTATTTATGTATTCATTCTGGATAATAATATACATACATATACTCGTATACTTTCTGGGGCCTGCCAAATTGGACTAAAACAAATTGTTTTTTCGTCGGTCCGTCTGTATGAACACAAGAACTTCGCCCTGTACCTGTATTCATATTCCCCTAACCAAGTGAAGATTGTAGCCTTAACCTGATCTTTAATAAAATTTATTTGAACAAAAATGGAATCCTAGAGATGTGGGCTTCTATCGAAGCTTTGGGACTTCCATCTTAATAGAAAAAGACACACCTTTTAATGATTTATAGTGAAATGATTGCGGCATACTTATTTGCATTCTTTCTTTTTATTGCAGGATCCGGCAAATTCACGTATACCACGCTTTGACGGCATCTCGAGAATACCACAGCCGGGCAGCTTGCCCTCCGGCTTAACATCACACATTAGGCCACCGACAGCGGCTACAGCTTTAAGTACTTGCGTGCCAGCGAATAGGACTACGCATAATTTTCGAAAGCCTGCAGTACCAGGAATAGCTGGAGCACCGCGACCGAAATCCTTTCAGGCTACAGGAAACAAACCTGAATTGAGCAATACCCTTAAGAAGAGTGCATCAGGTGGTCGATTAAACAATGCGGTTAATTTGCTCAGCAAGCAGACGACAACGGTCCTGAAGAAATATTTTGGAAAACCGGCGACATCGACATCGGAGCCCTCGCAAATGACCTGCTCATTGCCCATAACGCCGGTCCCGGTACCCAAGCGTGCTATGGTGTACAATGAGGCTCTGACCACAAGCACGCCAATGCCACTTCTGCGGTCCGAGACATTTGTGTATGGCGATGGGAATGTCGATGAAGCCGATACCGGCGATGGGCACCCCATAGTAAACACTGTGCCGCCGTTGGAAAATGGCAAGGAGCGAGGCCATTATCAGAGCACTCCCCTGGATGTGCTGCGCCCACCGCGCATACAGAGCGCCTGTGATGGGACACCTCGAGCTCTTCCAAATATACGCTCATCGAATTTTGGATTCAGTAAGACCATCGATATGGACTCATCAGAAATAAGAAATGCAACTATAGAGAGTGCTTGCTATGAGACGCCTTCTCGAACTCTCTTGAGTACACGCATTTCAAACATTGGCTTTGGTAAGACTATCGATATAGACTCACCGGGAAGCAGACAAGCAAATGTTACACACTCAGTAGCGGCAATGGGCCGCACCATGCCTGTTGTTTGTGCCGACGTTACCGACGGAGATCGCTTATGTAGCACTGATATCGAGCCTGGAAATGAAAAAGCCGATGGGACACACACCATCAACACAACAGCCACAAATTTTGGTATGACCATGCATGTTATAACAGCGGCCAATCTCACCAACATTATTGTGGGAGAACCATCAAGCGAGCTGGCCTCGCCCCTCAGCAATGCCACCTATTCACGTCCTGGTTCCATGGACAATTTACCGCTACTGGAGCATATGTCCATGCCTTCGGGTCTAAACTTGGTAAACGTGAAGCCAATTTCAGGAGAGGATTTGCATATGGAGCATGAAGTTAATAACTCAATGGATGTTACGTTGATGCCGATGACGCCGGATAAAGCAAACATGAAGTTACCTCTGAATTCGACATTGAATACGGAGCGCTTGCTTGACATTACTGGTCTGCAATCGCCAGCACATCACATTCAGTTGCTTAATCTAACTCGTGAGTTTATGGAGACCACACCACCTCAGACACTTAAGCTTGGACAGCGCTCAGGAGTACCTCAATCCTTGATGTATCTCACTCCACAATCGGCTACAACGACGCCAGACCGAAATACCAACTTAAAACTAGGCGTCTTACGTCATCAGCAGACTCCAGTACCAGTTCATCTGCTTTCGCCGCTGCTTAAGGGTGCACAAAGTGATCTTGTGCTGCCCACACGCACTCCCGAAGACGAAGAGAAGAAGGCTATGGAAACAGATGATACTTTGGTGACGACGGACGAGCAACAGCAACTTCAACATGGCTCACTGCAGGATGTGCAGCAGCAACAAAGGCACGGAAAATCAAAATCGCGCTATTCTTTTGGTCTCGATCTTCCCGATTCTACTCTGGACTGTTCTATAGAGCTGGTGGACAACTCGTTCTCCTCAATGGCTGCGCGGAATTCACTGCCAGGAAGCAACATGTCCCAATCATCATCTTCTCAACAGCTACAACAGCAACTTCTAAAGAAGCAACATTCGTTCGATCTAGATGAAAGTCTGGGAATCTTGACGCCAGATCAAATGAAGGAATTTTTGGACTCGACGACAAATAATATGAGTAGTCAAAATAACTTAGAATTGCCGGTGAGTAGCAATAATCCTTCCGGCAATCGCCATGGACAGCGCCTCTCGCTTCAACAATTGCGAATGGATCAAACGCCTTCGCCGGAGGAGCTGCCCCTCGATCCCGTGGAGGTAAAAACGGATATTACAGAGCTTTTACTACAGCAGCGAAAACAACAACAGACCGAGCTGCCACGTGCTCCTCAATTCCAAAACGCATCATTGCAGTCACAGAATGGCCAGAACGATCCCCATTCGCTTCTTACAGATACGGAACATTCAAAGGCGGAACCATTGAGTAAATCTTGCAATTCGAAAATATCCAACTCTTTCATTACGAGTGTGACTAGTGTGACCAGTTTGGACACTGGTTACCAGGGTGACGGTGAAATGTCTCGTCCCGCTTCACGTGGAGCCTGCGATCACTCGCCCTCCAATGGTGGACATGCCCGCAAGTTGGGCGTTAGTCGCCAGCCCAGTTTCCAACAGCAGCCAGCAGCGATGGCTGCTCCCGCAGCACCTATGCGTCGTCAGGATCCCATGACCGATTCAGATTTCTTTACCGAATCCGATGCCGACGATGTGTTGCAGCGTGGCGATCGCCGAGCTCAAGTTATCGATGGCCAACTCTATGGCCCTGCACACATGCAGCCGAGTGCTTCGGTTTTTATTAGCGAGGATCCCCAATTGGAAGACTCGTGTATGGAATCATCTGGAATTTTCACAGATGTCGAAAATCGGTGCGACGAAGATCCTTCGCAAATGCGCCGACAGCATGAGCATCAGGACGTGGATATGTCGCCAGACAACGAAGGTGGGGACGATTCCACAGGCACTGTACGCAGTCAGCTGCGACTGCGGAAGAATGCGTCAGGAAACGCTCTGGGTCAAGGTCGTCCGCACTCTTCATTGCTCGTGCACAGTAACAGCTGCAGCGCTGAGGAGCGGCTCTCTTCATCCGCTGGCACTACGCTCTCGAACCGCACATCTTACTGTAGTGTGGACGGCGGCAGCGCTGCGCTCGCGATCGACAGCAAAAGCTTCAACGATGGTGAAGCTTTGACGCTGCTCGCTGCCTCGCAAAGCGATCAGCGACTGTCAGTTGAGCGCGTAGACTCGTCGCGTGCGCACGGCAACGGCAACTGCAACGACAGCGGCAACGGAAGCAACAGCATCAGCAACAACAAGAATATCACGTCGTGTTCGTTAACGTCGCTTTGTCCAGTGCAAAAGTCATCGTCGGCGTTGTCTGTCGAGCATTTTAATGCATCGCCCTCGGCGTCATCGCCGTCAACTTCATCGTCTAGCTCGTCATCAATTTGTACACCCAAGTCGTGCAAGTCGAGTAAACCAACAACTAGTGCCGTAAAATCAAAGCGACCCTCGCACTCGCCCTTGTCGTCGCACACGCCCCCCGCGCGTAAATCGCACACGCCCAACAAATGGGATGCCGTGATGCATAAAATTGCAAGCAATAAGCCTCTGATTAAAACCAATTACAATGATGTGAAATCCAAAGTGTCCACCACGCGACCCATGACTGCAGTTAATGCTGTCAGTGCTAGTCCGAAATCATCGACTGGTAGCCCTGGCGCCCGAGCCAGCCCCATTGCCAGGGCGAGTCCGAGCACCGGTGTGCGTCGATCGCCTTCACTGACTGCTGCACGCAGCGGCACCGCCAGTCCTGCCACGCCTAAATCCAAACCACAGACGCTGCACATAAGGCGCAACATTGGCAGCAATGGAGCTGGCGTCAAAACTGCAACGCCCTCTCCTCCACCGCCGTCGTCGACGTCAACGCGGCAGCCACAGGATAAAGGCTCAGTTGGCGTCGGCGTCAGCGCTGTTCGTGCCCCAGTGGCTAAATCTCCCACATCGCCACCGCCAAAACGATTTCAATCCAGCAGTAGCGCACTGACTAAGCGGTAAGTCAGAATATACTTTTTGGCTTAATTAACAGATCCGCGAGACAATTCAACACAACCACAGATTTGTGGACGTAATATAACTGAACAGAACCGAGCACTTGCATAGTAAGTTAGCTCTTTCTCCCACTAGTTGGAGCACTCCTCTTTAACATTTGTTGACGTCTCTGCCTTTAGCGCCAAAATCAACATATGGAATGTGTGTACATATCTTATCGCAACCCGTAGGTACGAGTATGTCAGGCTTATCAGACAAGTTCATTGGGCGCACCTTATCACAGGTGTTTCTTATACTTGTTTGTTTGCCTTCTGCGTTTAGTCTGCAATAAGTTTTTGTTGGTAATTAAATTCTTGAATGGCTATGCTTTTCGTCAATTGCTGTCGCGCACCGGTTAACTAAGTAGATCAGGGACTATATTATCAAAAAGTTGTTATCATTCGGCCAGAAGGCAAACAAATTGGAATTTCTTAAATGATAAACCATTTGATAATTAAATGTTTGGAATTGCTGCTATAGCGAGCTTATTTTGACGATCGGTATGTGCCGATATCAACATATTTGTTTGTGGTATAATCATAAAACAGTTAGTGGGACTGACTGAAATCGAAAACGCCTTTTGGTGGGGCTGCCCAAATGGCTCTAACTCAGTCACAAGTAAATGAATTAAGCGGAAAAATTGCATGACGGTCTGCACTAAACTAAATACCTACATAGACAAAACGACGCGCCGGCAACTTAATTTATTGGCCCCGTGCCGTGTATATTAACCGTCATTTGTCTGGGGCGCTGAGCCGTGTGCCATTTACATTAGGCCATGCATAATGCTGATGACAATACTGGCAAAGCGCGGCCGAACGTGCGTTACAGCGATTGCTCCTCCGAGTATGTGTCTACCCGTATGTGTGTGTGTGTGTGTGTGTGTGTGTGTGTGTGTGTGTGTGTGTGTGTGTGCGAGCGTCAGGTTAATTCGAGCTTAATTTCGCAGCAATTTTTGGTATTTAAGCGCAGCGGTCTCTCATGTACAAAGAAACGAAGAAAAGTTTGTCATGTGAACTGAAAGCAAAAGCTTCGGCTTGGGCCCCGCGGCGTGGTGTGTGCATTATACAAATTAATGCTGAATGCGAATGGAATGAAAGAGTGCGAGAGTGAGTGAGAGAGGGGGAGGTGGAGAGAGAGAGAGAGAGTGAGAGAGGGAAGGGAGCAAATTAATTCGACTGAACTTTGACTTTAAATGGACGCGAAAACAAAAGCATAGCATAAACAAGAAGTCACACAATTCCGGTTATGAAATATTGTTTACAGAATTGCCCGATTCGAGATTTGGCTCGCCATCATTAACTATTCACAAAAGAACTCATAAGCTTTGGTGATAAATAGTTGAATAGTGTACAAAGAGTCAATTATTTCAAATACTAATATTAACAATATTATTCTTTGGTTAATTGGTTTTCATAAAAGTAATTAAAGACGTCTATGGCGTCTTCATTATAGGCGTTATATTGCATGGCATAAACTCTTATCTGCGTCTAGATAGTAGAATTTTAATTCCAAATTGTATTGTTGTAGTCCTCTATGCTATTGGTAGAAAGCTGGAAGAAGAAGTTTGTTATGGAGGGAATTGAAAAATAATGCCTACTTGCTGTTTCTTTAAAAATCGTGTTATGCTCCTGCTTTGTTAGTTGTTTTTGTGTTGCCATGGCCATATTAATATTGCGAAACATTTTCAATTAAAATAGAATTGCAACATCACAAATTAAAATAACAATAACCGCGAAAACAACAAAAACAAAAGCTACAGAAACCTCAATTTCAGAGTGTATGCCAAAGCTACTCTGTAGGCATTATTCACACAAGGGTAGTGAATCGGCGGCCTGCGCTCATAATAAAAATAACAAAACGTATTTATTTTTTTCTATATGTGGTATTAAAAAAAAGCAACAGACAAGCCATAAAAATTCATAAGAAAAAAGATTTCAATCACGGCAAGTTTTGCGTTAGTTTTGTTTCTTCCTCCGACATGAGCAGAAAATCGAAATTTCGCAAATATTATTTTATTTTATAGTATATCTTAAAAATGCATTTAAATTCAATGCTTGTAACACAGTCGAGTAATCAACAGTTACAAAAATACGATGATTAACTAGCACACATACTTCTTATCTAAGTATATGTATGTACTTATGCCATTTTAATTGAAGTGCGAAAATACACAGCTTCGTATACATATGTATGTCTGTATGTACTCGTATTTACGCACAAAAGTTTCTCATGTGGCATCGTTGCGGCCGGCAGTAACAGCTGGAAACCAAAATGTGTTAACACTCGTGAATGTGAATGTATCTTACAGTACTTGCGCTAGACCGTGTGTGGGTTTTAGAACGAGGGGCTTGCGAGCGTGTGAAAAACGCCTAAGCTTTAAATCGATTGAGATATGCATGTCTACGGGTTTGTTTTAAGTCGTATTAGCAATACTGCGACCCTCAAACATTAAAATTCACAGGGGATTACGTAAAATCGAGCTTGTGATTTCAGCGAGGGGTGTTAAAAATGTTTCTATAAGCAATTAAATATGTCCAATAAACGGGCTGTTGGTAATTGTGAAAAATAATGAAAATGTGATCAAATTTTGATAAATATTTATGCAAAATAAGTAGTTCGAAAAGGTCAAAACTTGTTTAGACCTTAACAAACCAAATAAAATCAAATTAAATTTCGTGTTCTTAAACTTTGAAATGTACAACTACAATTATAACTCCATCTATGTAAAAGGTCAAAACTTGTTTGGACCTTAACATAACAAATAAAATACAATTACGACTTTCTGTGGTTAGACTTTATAATGTACAACTAAAATTATTGCTCCTCCTATGTGTTTAACATATTTGTGATTTGCTCATTGATTTAATTGATAACAAGAGAGAACGCTACAGTCGAGCAAGCCCGACAGTGTAATACCCTGTACCCAGGTAAACTTCCGTCACTGAGTTATATGCGACCATAGCAGCACCAAAAAGAGGAAGAAGAAGAGCGAACTTGTTGCTGCAGTTTGTGGGGTTGTACTGGCGAGAATTTGTTTTGCTAATAACTTTATTTAGAATTGACCGAATTGAATTAAATTTTGAACAACAGTAGACAATTATATATAAATTATGTGTGCAAAGTTTGGTTTAGGTAGCATTTGAAATGTGGACGCTATTGACGAAATTCTGTAGCGGGGGAAGGGGGGGAAAATTAAAAAAAAAAAAATAAACTCGTCCTTACTCGGACCTAGGAGAATCTGGATGCCAACTTTGGTTATTCTAGCTTTTATAGTTTCTGAGATCCTCGCGTTCATCCAGACGGACAGACGGACGGACAGACGGACGGACAGACGGACGGACAGACGGACGGACATGTCTAGATCGATTTCTCTCGTCATGCTGATCAAGAATATATATACTTTATGGGGTCGGAGATGCTTCCTTCTGTATGTTACATACTTTGCACAAACCTAATATACCCTTTTTACCCTACGGGTACAGGGTATAAAAATGTAATCAGCAATAATAGATATCTAAAGCACAGGTAGAATAAATTGACCTTTTTGGATTGTTTTACATAGCGGTTCTTTAAATTCTTAACAGCTTTCAAGTTCTTGCGAGAGCTCTATACGTTTTCCATTCATATACGGTTTTATAGAATTTCGAAACCTAGCAAAAATGAACTGACCGCGACAATTAGATATAGAAACAGAAAAGCTGCTTACGGCTGTATTGCAACAGAACACGAACATCACCATACTCACAATTTGGAGCACAATCACTTATTGATGTCAAAGTGTTGCTAGCTACGTAGTCTGCCCATCTATCTCTATCTGTTCAGCTAGTCGTAACACATGTTATCGACCCTATATCAAGAAATGAAAACAGACAAATGAATAGAATAACACGAGGCACCTAAGGCAGACTCGTCGCCTGCTCCAAAGTTAAAGATAAAACAACGAAAGCAAAAGCAAACAACAAACGTATAGACATAAAACGCCATAAATTTCGACAAGGTCAACAAATAGAAGCAATTAGGAAACACAGAAGAAAAAGAAAAGAACAAAACTGGAAAAAACTTCAAATGAATGCTACAGATGCTGATATTGATTTTAAGTAGCAGAAATAGTTAAAGGAAACACCGTGCACCTAGCTCTAGAGCTATTAAAGCCCTTTTGTGCCCGCACTTTTCAGTTTTGCATCGTAAGCACTTAATTAGTGTATAAAAGAATGCTTACAACCGTGGGTGACACAAAGGGCACAAGAATTGTTGATAAAGCTGTGAAATCTACGGCTATTAAGAATTTTGCTATATAATGTTTATGGCTTCAAACAGCAGCTTCGTGCTAATGATGATGATGATGACGATGACGATGTTGGTGTTGAATAATATAATATTCACCGAATACGAGCTGAACTGGTTACGAGAGTCAGTTTATCTACACATACAGTTCTTGACGAGGTAAAACATTGAGTGGCGAATGTAACAATGCCACATAAATAAATAAGCTTAACAATTAGAATACTTGTATAATGTATAAATTTGTCACAAATTGTGTTGAAATGTTTAATACTATTACTATGAATCCAGCAGTCAGAAGAACACATAATTAAGAATTATTTTTGAGTTGAGAATATAATACTCAAACCGACTCTTAAATACTCTTTTGTACAGGGACTGGCAAAGCACTTATCCGGTTAGGGTAATTGCCAAATTTGAATTATCTTAAAATCACTAATACGGGACCTGCTTAGAGCTTAGGGGAGTACAAAAACCAAGTCTCTGGTTATTCTTGCTCTTATACTTTCCCAAGTTATTCCATGATTGAAAAATCAAGAGTTTGTAAAATAAGATATTATTGACAATTATTCCAAAACTCCGTCATGATTGTTAATGAGGAATGTTGTAGTTTTTAAAATGAGAGTCATTTTATTATTGAGAAATTACTTCTGAAGAAAAAAGTCCAAATACACGTACA